CGTCAAACTAAAAAAAGAAAAACTCAGTGCACAGAAATCTTACACAGAGGCATGAGGAATGCTGGACGAACCCAGGAAGCACTTGCTGGACAATATTGGAGGAACGTTCTTAGAACGTTGTTGCAACGTTTCTCAATGTCGAGACTGAGCGTTATTCTCAGGACGTGCAGAAAGAGAAACTGGCCTCTAGAGGGCGCCGTGTATAGATTGTACAGCCAGACGATGATTGTCTACTGTTTGTTTGTTCGTTTGTACATTTGTTGCTGGTGATGAGACCAAGACAAAACGATGTATCCTCTCACACAGTTGGATAGTTTTTTCGACAAGCCCCTTTTTCAGAGCTGTACAGAATTGGGTTTTCAGTGTTATTGTGCTCGTTTATGCTTGGAGATGTGTTTGTTCAGTTGGTAACTCACACTTCATTCCAGTGGTGCCTTTAAATGTGTTTTTGTTGCCTTTTTACACATGGGTTCCTCCTTAGACAGTCATTTGTTCTTGAGCACAAATACAGGCCAATACAGGTCAGAGGTCAATACATAATAATACATCTTAATATATCTCAACAGGACATGCGCATGATGTCTATCTCAATGTTAAGTAGTTAGATTATTTGGTCCATCTTCACTCAATATATATATTGTAAAACAACAGGTCAGAAGACATTTTGTTAGGGAAGCATTATAATATGACCCGATTTCATGATTTATTGATTTATTACACAGCTCTCTGCACTGCAGAAATTTTATTAGTATTTTTGTCTTATTTTCAAGTAAAAATGTTAAGATACTTGACAAGCAAAATTGTGTAAGATATTACAGTTTTTCTTGTTTTTAACTTAACCATCACTAAAATTGGTTTTACTCTTATATATTTAAAACAAGAAAAAATTGCTAATGGCATAAGAAAAGTATTTAATTTAATACTTAAAACAAGTTTTAATATTTTTATATTTTGCTTCTCAGTTAAAGGGGTCATATGATGCTACATGCACTTTTACAAGTTGTACTGAATTGTGTGTTGGCAGTGTGTGTAAACAACCACCCTATAATGATAAAAATCCACCCAGTGGTTTTTTGTTAATCTACTAAATTATTTATCCCTTTCTCAAATCGAGCCGATCTCAGACGCCTGTCTGTGTGATGTCACAAAAATAGGCCCCTCCCACGATAGTTTGATTGACAGTAGCGTTTCAGCACAGACTGGACTGGTGTCTTACCTTAGACCCGTCCTGAGTGCCGGAGCAGATGTAGACAAGAATGACTCCTAAGCGATTGAGGTGTTTTGTTGTTGGATGTAATAATGAACATAGCAGTCGTCATTTACTCCCGACATCTGAGCCGCTGAAGACGCAGTGGATTATGTTTGTTTTTGTAGGGAATGCACCCCCGATCTACATAAATGCGTCTATGTTTGCGCGAATCATTCGTGATCCAGCTTCACCTACAGAAGAAGTGAGTGTAAGGTTTTTTTAAGAATCTTTTCAAATCGCCTTTCCTAATAATGTGCTAATTAGC